GGCAGTTGCCGATGACCTGTAAGTTTTTTTCCTGATACAATGATGAGGCATCATCCGAGTACAACATAAAATGGCCTGCGGGGAACGAGCGCTGAAGATTGTTGATGGTCCCAGTACAGAACATTGTGGTACATCTGTATCAGTATTAGTTTTACCTGACGTTACAAAAAATTCTTCCATCGGAAAAGGGGTATAATAAAATTTTAGGTGTATGTTCACTATTATTATATTAACGATTATTGCAGCTTCTATTTGACATCCCACTGACTATGTGAAGAGGGGCATTTTTGAAGTATTCTTTGAATTGGTCTGCAACTTCATATGGATCAGTTATGCTTAATCCATCATTATTTGAAGCAATATTTTTTGGGAATGTGTTCGTGTTATCTCTGATACCACAAGCCAAGCAGCTTTTATAGCGTGGTAAGACCTAAAAATTTCTTCCTGATAGTATGATCTATTCGTGATTGTTACCAACTTCTGGTGTTGCTTTTTTCGGCTTGATCAAGAATAATTCGACATGAAAGTCACGTAACTCCGAACTGGATTTTTTTATCGCATCATTAACCCAGGATTTTCTATTGTTTGGAATTGAACGGCTTCGTAGTGGAAAATGTTTCTGAAAATAATAGTCAAATACCCGACGAAAACAGTCGAATGTCGTGTTAACATCCACCATCCAATACAAAGCGGACCAGTTTTCATGACATAAATCATATGTACAGAGTCAACTTACTTGACGCTATTTTTGTAATGTTTAAATCGCTCGTTGTCATATAGCTTAACAACACCGAGAACTAAATCGCCAAGTGGAAACGTATTAATTTCAGTGCTGTTCAGCACTTGGCTTAGCGATTGCCCGTTTCCACGATTAGTCATCTAGTAAGGACAGACTCCGGTGTAAGCTTCAATCGAGTTTGATATGAGCAGGAAGCAAGGAAAAGCAACACTTGAGATGGTTGGCTGCTAAATACCACCGTCTCCTACTCATCACAAGAGTCTTCTCCGATCAAGGAGGCTTATTGGCGGTTGCTTTAGGCTCGTGCTGCTGCTTCGACGAAATTGGAATGAAGTGCATTTTGGCAGTCGGAGCGGCACGACGGTACCTCTAGTGGGATTAAGATGTTTCAAGAATCAGAAGTGGGATGGTGCCTATGTACACTTCATAGAAACAATAGGTGATTCATCTGTTTTGTTTATTCAAACATAATTTTTCAACAGACTAATCGAATTACAGGGCAATATTAATGGTTATTAACTCAGTTAACAATGTGCATATACTCACAAAAAAATAGCTAGGGTAGTGCTTAGGGTCGTATCATCACTAGTTCCTACAATAATGGTGGATGCCTGCTTGATTTTCATCGTTTTCTACTGTTCCATGACAGCGCTCTATGTCAAGGTTATGTTACAAATACCTATTTGCATCAAATTGATCATGCTTTTGATTTATATCATCTGTTACCCCAGCCTGAAATATCCTGCAATTCAAAAAGTGCTGACGCTGACACGGAACAGTTGAAATCTAGAAATACCCTAGCCTTTCTGAAGGAGAGAAAAGACTATGAGAATCAAGGAGGCCATAAAGGAGTCCTACAATATTGTAGGAACGACTGACGATAGGGCCCTTAGTCATTGAAATTTGAAAAAATACTGCTGATGTAGTCGAAACTGATATCAGAAATGTTTGCTATACAACTTATTAGCTATACTCGTACTATAAATAAAGCGGTCGAGATTACAGAAACTCGTTGACTGATCAAGTAAGAGACAAAAACACCACTCTTTATTTGACTTAGAAGCTAAAAATATAATTATAGTTCAATCATATTAGACGAAAATACCCCTGGTTTGCGAAATAATTGTAAAGTCTGATTTTATTGCTGCAAGTTGTGCAAGGGGGTATTTAAAATATAGACGCATTAAATGGGTACACCAATGTTTGTGGGAAAACTTTATATTCAACAACAAAGAATGAGTAAAAGTGTTTTTTTTGGGATTCAATCGAAAGTGTTGGCGGAAACGAAAAAACTCATAAGATTTTTAGGTATTTATGAGACCTACAAAATGGGACTACACGTAAAAAGGTTCGACTAATAGCAAAAAGCTATGGCCGAAAACCGAGGCAAACTGCAGGTTTTGGCACTTGGAAATGCGACGATGGTTTCTCGCAGATACTTGAAATTCTTCAAATTCGTAGGATTCATACTTCTAAATAATCACAACAAAATTGGAGTAAATTTTTCAAGTAGTTTTTGAGAATTTTTAATTGTTTATGCCGAAACACCTGTTTTTCGGCCATCATTACTAGTTTATTAAACAATATACAGGGTTAGTTCAAAGGTCATCTTATAGCAAAATACACGAGTTTACCTTGTCGATATAAATCGCAAACCATTCCGGAAGGTAAATGTTATTTTTATGCAAAAAAGAATGAATGGGATACGTTTTTTTCTTCTAAACAAATTCAAACATTTCGTATTTGTAAGTAATTCGCAACAAAAGATGATACACAACCGCTTTGTTTTAAAATGTTTATAGCAACGTATGTTTTTCGAATACGGTAGTGCATTTGTTCAATGAATCTTACGGATGTGAAGAATTTCAAGTAGATGTGTGAAATTATCGTCACATTACCAAGTTCCAAAACCTGCATTTTGCCTCGGTTTTTGCTACGAGTCGGTTCTTTTTGCGTGTAGTGTCATTTTGTAGGTCTCATAAATACCCAAAAATCTTATTTGAAAAGTTTTTTCGTTCCTGTCAAGACTTTCGATTGAATCTCAACAAACACGTTTTCTCATCTCTGTTAACGAATAAAAAGTTTTCCCACAAAAATTGGTGTACCCATATATGCGTCCATGTTTTAAATACTCCCTTGAGCAACTTGCATCAATAAAACCAGACTTCACAATTATTTAGGGGAAATTTGCTAATATGATTAGACTATTAGGAATAAAATAATGAGTAGTACGACGCGAATTGATTAAAGTTACAGTGAGAGACGAGAAGGATAGTGCTGGTCAGGACAGAAAGACTTCGTATTTACGTCAAACAACGTTTAGATCTTATTAGTAATTTTTGTTTCTGGTGAAGTTTTAAATATTGATTGTGATGATTACTATAAACATTTTTAGACCGTACAACTTTCAGGGGCTTTTTGTTTTTTGGTATATCTGTTTGAAAATGGTTGATCCTTGCAGTGCAGCGAATTGTTGAAACAAACGAAGAATAAATGTGAAACGTTTCGCACCTTGGTTTAAATTCATTCTTTTCTGATAGAATATTAATTGTTAATAGACAATTTGAGAAAATATCTGTATTTTATTTCAGTTGCCTCATCGCTAAAAAGAACCTTATCCAGGAAAGTAGGGTCTTCACTCACTTTGTTTAGCATTATTCTACTAAACTCCATTCGAGCTGCGAAATCCTGAGGACGAAGGCCTTGATGCAAGCATAGGTGATATGGATGGCACCTACCTATGCTTGTGAATAATCCTTTGGACAGAAGTTCTGCATATATCAGTTTCTGCTCCAATTTTCCGTGCACTTAAATGGGGATTTTTTATCGTTGCTTATAAATGCGAGATGCTAGGAAACTGATCTATAATTATATACGTATAATAACTAATCAAAAATTTATTTGTTTCGAAGGATGATGCGATATTTTAGGGAATTAAGCCGTTCCATAAAAGATGTGCTAATAACCGAAAAAATAGCCGTAAAACCCTTATGTGTCTAGTATCAAAAAAAAGCTCAAAAATTGAATCCAAACTTGCACAAATATACAGGGTGATGCATTTGAAATTTTTGAGAAAAACTACGATTTGCGTTTTTGACCACCCTGTATGAGCAAAAATTAAAATTCGAAAAAGTAACAAATAAGATAAAAGCTGAGGCGTGCAAGTTTTTTTTTATACAAAATACAGCACTCAAAATTTCAAAATGGCGGACTTGGGGTTGCCGAAATGGGGGGTTTTTCTATACAAAACACCTTATATCTCAGTAGCTAATTACCAAAACCCCATAGTATGTTATATCAATTTTCTTCTTTCGAATTGGTTAATCCATATATGTAATAAAATTTGAGGCATTCCATTTAAAGAATCACAACTTTGATATTTAGGTCAGAATTGGAACACCCTGTATAATGGCCAATATTTTAGAAATGTCAAATGTCATGTATAGCATCCCATAAATAGATTTTCCCAAGATGTATTTGTTTATGAGTACATACATGGATGGGCCACCCTGTATACCTTACACATCAGAGCCAACAGTCCAATAGCACTACACCCTGCCCACACACCTATAATTTCAGAAATCAATCTGCCCTTTTATTGAACTGTTCAAAAAATAGGTGACACCACTATAGAGGACTTCTGGTGTCTTTTGTTTTGTATTTATGAGACCAAACAGACAATTTTTGGGCGTCTTCTACAAGCGAAATCTTGTTAGAGGATCCATCCGTGAATATGTATACTCGTAATAATAATAATAACGTCTTTATTTAAACAAAAAGAACTAATGTCCGGATTTTTATATGGTATAAAACTGCAAAATATGTTTTTTATGCTGCAAAAAATAGACGAAATATGGATTTTATATGTGGAAAAACTGAAACATAAATCTGCGAACACTTAAAAAATAAACGCTTATATATTAATATTAGTTATTTATATATCATATCACATAATATTAAACTAAAAGTCAACAAAACATAATAGGTTTTTCGGTAATGAACAGTACAGTACTACTCCAAACTAACACACACAAAAAGTTAAACGATAGGGTTGCAGTATAAAACTAATAACTGGTTAATACTATCCATGCTTAAATTATGGCGTTTGTCTGTTAATAAATTTTTAAAAGCCGAAAATGAACGCTCCAAATCACATGATGTGATCGACGCAAATTTTAAGGAAGCTACTATATGTGTGAAGGCTTCATTTTAATATCCGGATCACTTTGGCTCTGTCCTCTCAAAATGTAACTAACATTTTTTATTTGTTGGTATCCAGGATTGCGAGATAAAACACTTTCTCATTTAACCCTAATTTTAAAGAGTCGTTTAATGACAACTGGGCAGTTTCCAGCTCCGTTATTGCTTTTGCTAACATGAAAAAATGAGCTTTAATAAAGGCTAAGTCTTCGAAAATGTTTGACTCCAGTATCGATTCCTTACAAGATCTAAGTGCTATAGAATCAGCGTCAAGCGAAAGAAAACTTTCTTTGATCTTTACGAAATTATCTGCATAAAACAAGGCAGCATTGAGCCATGTACCCCATCTTGTAATAACAGCCTCAGGTGGTAAGGGCAAGCCAGGAGCCATTTCTTTGTAAAATTCTACCCTTAAGGGAGCTTTTAAAAAGACATTTTTTCCGTTATTAACTAAATTATTAACAGAAGGATATTCTGCACGTACTAATTCGGCTAATCTATTCAATGCATGAGCCATACAGGTGAAATATATTAATTCCGGGTAAAATACCAGTAAAGCTTTTCCAGCCTTGATCATATAAGCGGCCGCATCAGAAAGCATCAATTTTACGTTTTCAGATTTAACTGGATTTGGTGCAACTATCATTAATAAAACGTGCAACGGTCGAGTGATTGGTTTTTTCTAAGGCTACAGAATTAATTAAATAAGACACTGGAGGGGTAGACTCGTTTAAAATACCAACAAGTATATTGACAACATAACGACCACATGCATCTGTTGTTTCGTCAACTTGAATATAAATATTAGGGTTGCATGACTTTTCTAAACGTACCTGGTAACATTTCTTCAAATAGTTTTTGCGCAATGTGGATTCATTTGGGATATGGCGGTTACAATATTTTTCTAAAAATTTACGGAACGCCGGTTGTTCTAATTTATTCCATGGTATGTTCGATTGTGCCATGGAGTTGCATAAATCAGGAGCTGCCACATAATGCAGTTGAAACAAACGTTTGTTGCACTTTCCCGTTAAATCGTTTCTCCATTTCCTTGTGAATGGCTGTAGCAAGGTGTTGATCGATCTGAAATTTCTGGTTTGAGGGTACCTGGAATCAAACGAGCTCCTAAAAAAAAACTTTAAAGAAACCTTAAAATAATGAACGTTTACAATAATAGCTCCGTAGATAATGAAAGATTAATTAATTATTATATTAATACATATACTCACTTGCTTTGAACAGGCGTTACAGTATGCAACTGTTCCATCAGTGGATAAATGTCTAGCATTCTTTATTCATTTTTTAAGTAAATCAGATTTAGAGCTTGATACTTTCGGCATGGCGATCTTTTTAAATATTAAACGGCAGCCAAGATTAATACGTGTACTTTGGGGGAATCACCGATATGCTTTGCAGTCTTTATAATTTGTGCACCGTTGTCAGATTTACATAACAATGAGTAATAATAAATGTTTTTAGTCTGAATAAAAAAAAAACAAAATGCCATTTTATGTTTTTTAAAGTGTATGTCTTTGTATATGGATTATATGTAGAAAAAACCTAAAATATTATGTTATATGTTTTTATCCGAAAAAACCCTAACATATTATATGATATGTAAAAACATGTAAGTAAATACATATAAATCCAGTCTTTACAAAGAACCAAGAGATACACAAGCAGCCAAGGCTACTCTTACCTTTGACTGCTTATGTCGGTTACATTAGATGTTCAATACAAAAGAAATAATAATATAAAAAAAGAACATCAACATCTATGTGAGCATAAAAGCACATTCCATCACGGCACAGCACAGTCTTAGCCTATGGCGAGCAGCCTGCTTTTGACTTGCTCGCGGAAACTCGGCAATGACATTGATTTTCAGCTCTTTTCCAAGTGATTATAGAATAACGCTGCATTATATGAAAAACCACGTTGGAATAAAGCAGAATTGTATGGGGCGATCCTGATATTATAGCGATTTCTGACAGCTCGGTCATACACTTCACAGTTGAATCGTATGTGTTAACAGTTTCAGGAATATGTAGTTTCCCAGTTGGCCTGGGGCCAAGTACGAGTTCATTGCGGTGCTTTCGTCTTGTACGCCCTGTCAGAATAAAGGATATAATTTATTAGCCCGTTACAGCAGTTTTATAAACATGTTTCGGTTTGCGGCAATTTAATTTTCTATGGCTTATTCGCAGATGCAATCTCAGGGATTATTTGGCAGGATAATTACACTGCGTTCAATGCGTTGCGGACATTTTTGTATAAATGGAAACTGGCGGCACATGACATTGATTTTCTGTTAGATGAACTGATAAAATTATACCAGTTACATAGCCAAAAGGTACCTGTTCAAGACAGTAACGATGGCACCTTTAAGGTGCGTTTCCATTGCAACAATATTTCTACAACATGCGCAGCATGCGCCCGGCACATCTACCTACAACTTATTTAAACCAAGATGAACATATTACTTTCAACATTTTTAGTTTCAACTTTGAGACTAAATAAAAGTACAGGGACCCTTGTAGAAATGCACAACGGGCGACTGGATACCATAGATTATCCCATTTCACAGATGATGAAAGTGAATGATGATGCTTTTTGAGAACCTAAAATCTTTTACCTACATACTTACGAGTTGCTTGTATTAAATGGGGACAAAGTATTTGTATGCTATTCTACTATATCGATGCATTTTTGCCAAACTAACGTAAGTGACATTTTTGGTGAAAATCATGTTTTTCCATTAACGTAAGGCTTTTATTGTTGAGAAGGTACTGCCAAAGATTTTACTTTAAACCTTTGTTTTTAACTTTTTTTGAAAACGCATGTCCAGAATTTTTTAAATCATATCCGTAAAAGAAACGTAACTTTAACACTATTTCCATCATAGTAATGCAAGCTAACGTTTTTTACCGCCATAATAACGTAAGTCCCGATCGGTTTCTGCGACTTACATCAGATTTTCGCAGTCAGTGTTTGGCTTACGACAGTGTTAGGTTCGTGCTACCATCGACTAATTATTGATTTTAGGTAAGTAAATAATAAGGACATTTTTTTATAGTTAGAATTCAAAAATATTACAATCTTAACTAATACTATGTAGGTACATACCTATAAAATTCCATTTCATATTCAATTTCGTTCATTTATTACAAATGATTGTGTGAAAACCTCAAAGCCTGTGAGAAATTCGTAGGAATGAATCGGTTGAAGTTAAAAAAAACGTTTTTTTGTAGTTAGAATTTAAAAATATTAAAACCTTAACTAATATTATGTACCTACCTATAAAATTCCCATTTCATATTTAATTTCGTTTATTTATTAGAAGTTATTCTGTCATAACCTCGAAGCCTCTGAGAAATTTACAGGAATGAATCGGTTGAAGTTAGAGAAAGACTGTTGTATTTGTTTCTAATCTAATTTTTATAGAAGCTATGAAACATTGTAAACATAAATGCTCGGTTACTTTCAGATTATATCTATGGTCAGTTCATGAACAAAAAGGATTTTGGCGGCTCTTAGCCAAAATGATTAATCGAATAATGTTTATTCTGAGGAAGAAATCGGGTCTATGCCGATATCCATTATTTCAGGTCACAATATTTTTGATCTAGATAATTCCAAAAATATTTTAAAAACTACTTTAGTAAATGAAGACGTAATCGAAATAGATCAATCGAAATAAGAGAAACGACGACAAAGTTTAAAAATTTTCGAAAACATTTTGTCTGAATTATAAGAACAAAACTGATTTTTTAACGTATTTTCAACACAATGTATCTCGGAAATGAAACATTTCCGGACCCATGTTTATCGCAGATTTGTTGTTCTGTTTGTGGTTGAAGTTTTGAATACTAATTTAGTGACACCCTGTATAGGGAATTCCCGTGTTATTAAGACTTTATTAAATACAAAAAACTGTTAATGAACTACAAATATAAAAAATGAATACATATTTGCAAGTTATACTGAAGTACATATTTCTTTGATTAAGGTCGAAAGCGGCAAGAAAAGGCAGTTTCTGAACCTGAAAAAATTTATAAACAACTGCTTCCAATATCCGAAATGAAGAAAAGGGATTTGGAAAAACTTTGCAAAAACAATGTCATACCTGCCAGGTTTCACGATGAATTCTTTAAATTAAAATGTAAGTCTTCTCTTCCAGATGAGTTAGCAGAAACTGATGCAGAGGATGACAATGAAGATGAAAGCTCCAAAACTTAAAATATATTTTTTACTAGTCAGAATTTCATATTTTCTTTTGTAACGTTATTTTGTGTTTTTTTAAATAATAAACGATAGTTTTTAATTATTTCCAAAATACTTTAAGTGCTACAATTTGCCGCCAAACTGACGCATCTGTGTACTTACGTTACATTTTTGATCAAGACTTCGAGATTTCTGAACCCGTAAAGTAACGTAAGTATCAATTAACCACTAAAACTATAGAAAAACTTCAAAAATCATTTTTCTTAATTAAATATAGACCTCAGAGAAACAGCCAGGGAAATTTTGCACAATTTAAAAAAGTTTAACCAAGTTAAATTAAAAACACGTTTTTTCTCCGAAATCGTTTTTGGTGACTTACGTTACTTTGGCAAATACGTATCGATATTTAAAAAATGTATTTTCTCGCAATTTTATCCCATCCACAGAACGTGTTATTTCATTTCTGTGTTGGAAAATATTTTGCTCCCTCCAGGTGATACACAAACAAATTTTAAATCGAATACTTAAGCATTTTGCGAATCGCCTCATACCACATTCACGATATTGAAACAGTTTTTAATGTTCTGCTTTATCTACACGGAGAATCAAATTTGTCTAACGGATTGAGTTCAATGTGTACGAGAGAGAAGTGTGTATAGACGAATATATTAAAAAGAGATAAAAGTCGGCTGGATAACGAAGCACATCACCGCCTTGCTTATCAACGCTGATGCGGAAATCAGCCGCGTTTCCCATACCTTACACCAATTCCTTGAATTAAGATGCATGTTAAAAATATGCGTTAATTCATCCTCTACGCCCAAATAATGCTTTTATTTTGAGCCTACACATTTTTGGATTGTGAAATGTGTCGAATCTGTTTAAGATCGATTCCGGATCGGTCCTAACGGCACTCCATTTTAGGTCGAAATGAAAGGTCAGGATCGCCACAAATTCTGCAACATTGCATCATTGATTTGTTTGGAAACACCGCAGCTCGTACATTGCAAGGCAAGGTTTCCACCACTACAGACGAGCGATTTTGGCAGTGTTGCCAATGGGCGGAATAAGATCCGATTTGGGGAAGTTTTGGATTGTGGAGGAACTTTTTAGGAACCTAAATTTTCGAGGAACTTTTAAAAAAGCTTGGACATTTGCTAATATTTATTGAAACAAATACCGGCAGTACAGTAGAGATTATAATAGCATTCTTTATTGTTTAAATTACTAGTACCTGATTAATTAGTTATAGAAGATTATCATATCTACTATTTGAATTAATTAGTTCCTGATTTGTTCTGTTTTTCTGCAAGTAGTTTAGTATTTCGTAAACTGTTTCTAATTTGAACATTATTTTGATAAATTTTTGTTTTTTCCTTTTTTATTATTAAAACAAGTGTATACCAATAAAATATAATTTAATAG